GAGTTCAGCACAGAAACCGCCTCACCTGGATTGGTGGAAAACGAGAGGTAGAGCGGAGTGTCGTCAGCATATTGCTGACTTCTCAGCCCAAACCTCCTGATGACCTCTCCCAGCGGTTTCATGTAGATGTTAAACACCAGGGGGGACAGTACTGAACCCTGAGGAACCCCATGACATAAACACCATCCTCTGCACACAGTAAGCTAGGAAGGAGCGGAACCACCATAAAGCGGTGCCCCCAACTCCCAACCCAGCCAGCCTATCCAGAAGGACACCATGGTCAAAAGCCACTGAAAGGTCCAGGAGTATCAACAGGGTCACACTCTCCCTGTTTCTCTCCCGGCAAAGGTACAGGGAGACCAATATATGTATTGACAATACATGTATTCTCGTTGGCATATAGCAAATATGTATTTCTACAAGACAGAAAAATTTTGAAGATTTTGTGCAATACAACATTTTTAAGAATGTACAGGTTCAACACCTTGTCTGAGCTTTACAATGGTGTGAATAGCGGAAAGCAGACTTAGAAACATGGAAAGTTCAAAAAACATATAGCTATTGCTTGTAAGCAGAATGGAAGGAGACATTCTTCTGAAAGTAAGAACTGACATTATTTCTTTGTTATAATAGCAGCTAATGAGTGCTCTTCTAATAGTGATGGGGAGGATAAATAAAATAATTATTTCAACTTCCACTTCCATAAATAGTCCCTCTACTAACACCAAGCAACACTCTCCAGTGGCACTTCATGCAAGCCATTTCTTTAAACATGATAAAGCCCAGGATTATGCCACATACCAAAAACAAACAAACAAATGGGGGGCAGAGAGAGAGAGAAATCAGAAATCAATTTGAGACACTGAAAAGGAACTAACTTTACATTTGTCTTGTGTATTCAGGCACATGTCCAACTATATGAAATGAGGCTTATGCCTCAATAAATATACTGTATGTTAATGCATTTGAACATGTTAGGAAGCAGATGTTGGCAATATAGCTCCCAGAATCTCCTAACCAGCACGGTTAGTAACTATTCTGGCTTAGGGATTCTGCATGATATTGTTTATTCACAAACTGTACAATGAATCTCATTCCTAATATAACCAAATCACAGCTATAGGGGTGGGGTTTCTGGGAGCAACTGGTACACTGAATTGGCACTTACTTTTCCATGTTGTGTTTGGATAGTCAAATATGGCAAAGAAAGCAATCTAGGATATTTGCTAACTAAAGTAAAATATTCAATCTGCATCACTGGAGGAAATAACACTCTGTATTTCCCCCTGATTTGTGCAGTTTGATCTCAGTTCCCTCTGTATTTTTTCCTGCAAGTTAGGTGAGTGTGCACCATTTGTGGAGGATACCTACATAGGCTTTTCTACCATCGGTAAAACCTGGTAATAAAATATAACAGACTAAGCCCTAACACCATTATTTATTTATACGTAACAGTAATGTATGTAGCTGATTTTAATGTTTCTCCTCTCTGCATTTTATTCTCAAAATGACCTCTGGCTGAAAAGTACTGACGGACACTCACACACCTAAGTAAACGTTGTGACTCCTCAAGGATTTGAACTTGCATTCCCTGTTCCAAACTCAACTATACTGTACTGACTCCTCCCTCAGATCTGTTGTTAGTCTAAAAATAAATTATAAACTAAAATATACTGGTAGAAAATAAATGGAACAATTAATGTGCTTACTTTGCACAATATGAAAAATTGCCTGAACAATTTGAATATTGTTCAACTTTTCGCAATACACAAATTGTTCTGTCTAATAGGCATATGCAAGATAGGCTATTCAGATTTGAAGAAGTGGAATATTGCAAAATGGATAACACAGCAAACAAACAGTTCTGACATTTAGGCGTAGCTGAACAATTTACAACCATAACCGAAGTGTTAAAAAAAATTGATATCTATCTTCATAGTAAATAAGATTCCTGAACACTATAAAAAGCCTTTTGTAATAATGTTTTATGATGCCTTCTACCACTAAGGCAGCCCTGGTATCTATT